CAAGAAGGCACCAAAACGCGATCCCAGAGGGCCACGAGTCGCCGAAATGTCGCTTCTTGACGCCCACGATGGCCTCCAGACGGCCTCCTCTAAGACGCCCCAAAAGGCCGCCAAGATGCGTCCAAAGAGGGCCCCCAGAAACCAAAAGCATCCCATCCCCTTTGGAAAAAACACCATGGTTCGCCTACTCGCCTTTTCGGCTTTCACAACGTCCAAGACGGGCAAAGAAACCTTCAATATCGCCCCCAGACGGCCGAAGGGGCCCTCAAGAGGGGTCGAAGAGGGTCCAAAAACAGCCCACGAAGCCCCCAAGACAGCCCAAGAGGGCACCCAGACGGCTCCAAGAGGGAGTCCAGAGGGCACCTTTCCGAGCCTTCGGCCCCAAGACGCCCCCAGCCTGCCCTAAGAACACCCCAAGAGGCCCTGAGGGACCCCCGAGAAAACCTCAAAGGCCTCCAAGAAGCCCCCAGGAAGCCCCCAAAAGGCCCCAAAACTTGGCCCAAGATGCTTCGAGGAGGCCAGATAATTATGGCCTGCAGACAGGCCAAGATGCCACCAAAAGGCCACAAAAGAGCACCAAGAGGTACGATAACAGCAACGAAGCAACAGGAACGATGTCGAGCGCCGTGTCATGATTCGGACAAGCCTCGTGAAATGCAGTCCTGGAGGCGCAATGGTTTATATAGGTGTCGGCAGATGTGGCGTAAGCCTATAGAATCATCATCATCATCATCATCATCATCATCATCATCATCATCATCATCATCATCATCATCATCATCATCATCCTCCTCATCATCCTCATCATCATCCTCATCATCATCATCATCATCAGCATCATCATCATCATCACCATCATCATCATCCTCATCCTCATCCTCATCCTCATCCTCACCATCATCATCATCAGCATCATCATCATCATCATCGTCATCATCATCATCATCATCATCATCATCATCATCATCATCATCATCATCATCATCCTTATCATCATCATCATCATCATCATCATCATCATCATCATCATCATCATCATCATCATCATCATCATCATCTCATCAGCATCATCATCAGCATCATCAGCAAAAGCATCAGCATCAGCAGCAGCATCATCATCATCAGCATCATCATCATCATCATCATCATCATCATCAGCAACAACATCAGCATCAGCATCAGCATCAGCATCGTCATCATCAGCATCATCATCCTCGTCATGTTCATCCTCAGCAGCATCATCACCATCACCATCACAATCATCTTCATCAGCATCAGCATCAGCATCATCATCGTCATCATCAGCAGCATCGTCATCAGCATCATCATAACCACCGCCACTACCAGCAGCCACATCATCTGCAACGTCAGCATCATCATCAGCATCAGCTGCAGCATCATCACCATTATCCTCGTCATCGTCATCATCAGCAGCAGCATCATCACCATCATCATCATCAGCATCATCAGCATCAGCAGCATCAACCTCCTCATCATCATCATCATCGTCATCATCATCATCAGCAGCAGCATCATCACCGTCACCGCAAACATCGTCACCACAATCGTCACCACCACCACCACCACCACCATCATCATCATCATCATCATAATCAGCATCATCGTCGTCCTCCTCCTCATCGGCAGCATCTGTCTCATCATCAGCATCATCATCATCATCATCATCATCGTCGTCGTCATCATCAACATCATCATTAGCAGCAGCACCATCATCATCACCATCAGCATCAACATCACCATCACCATCACCATCACCGTCATCGTCGTGCTCCTCCTCATCCTCATCGTCCACCCTCCTCCTCCTCCTCCTTCTCCTCCTTCTCCTCCTCCTCCTTCTCCTCCTCCTCCTGCTCTTCGTTCCTTCCCTCCCTCCCTCCCTCCCTCCCTCCCTCCTCCTCCTCCTCCTCCTCCTCCTCCTCCTCCTCGATCCTCCTCATCCTCCTCCTCCTCGATCCTCCGCCTCCTCCTCGATCCTCCTCCTCCTCCTCCTCCTCGATCCTCCCCTCCTCCTCCTCCTCCTCCTCCTCCTCGATCCTCCTCCTCCTCCTCCTCCTCCTCGATCCTCCTCCTCCTCCTCCTCCTCGATCCTCCTCCTCCTCCTCATCTTGCTCGTCCTCCTCGCCTTCTCCCTCCTCCCTCTCCCTCCTTCTCCCGCCCTCTCCCCCCGCCTGTGCCCCCCCCCCCCCGTGCTCCCCGCTCCCCTGGCCTTCACCTCCGTGAAGCTGTCCAGCTCCACCGAGACGGCAAGGGTGGCGAGCTGCGCCTGCGGACGCCGAGACGGGGAGGGGAGAGCGCTGGGAGCAACAGAGGGGCGGGGAGGAGCAGCGGAGCTGAGCGAGGAGGAGACAGGAGGGGGAGAAGGGAGGCGAGGGAAGGGGGGCGAGGGAGGCGAGGGAAGGGAGGGAGAAGGGAGGCGAGGGAAGGGAGGAGGAGAGAGGAGGCCGGCCAGTCCACGACGCACGCCGAGAGGCGCGTGAGCGCAGCCGGGACGCGCGGTGCCGGCTCAAGCTGGCCCTCCAGCCTGACTCGCAGGGGGTGTCCTCTCCTGTCACAGCAGCGTGTTTGGCGAAGGAGAGGAGAGGGACGAGGCAGGGCAGGAGAGGAGAAGGATAAAGAGAGAGAGAGAGGCTGTCTTGACCTGATGCGGGCATTGCTTGAGCGTGCCTCTAGACGAGAGGGGAGGGAGAAGAGGGGAGGGGAGGGAGCCGCACGCCACACACACACACACGATATCCTGCCCCTCCCGTCCATCTCTTTTCGCTGCGATGCCCAAAATGCTGCTCGCCGAGTCGGGCGTCGGCTCGGGCCTCGATCCCAGAGTGGCAGCCTGCAAAACTTGGCTCCTCGTACGCTGCACAATGTGCTGGAGACGGGACAATACAGTGGCCAAGCAGCTCGCGGGAAGGTCGGGCGACGTCTGGGCGTAGCAAGGAAACGGAGACGCACGACACGGCAGCGCCGTGCAAGTAAGGAGGCGAGAAGCAACAAGAGGGGGAGGAGGAGGAGGAGGAGGAGGAGGAGGAGGAGGAGGAGGAGGAGGAGGGAGAGAGGAGGAGGGGAATATGGATACTACGGTCCAGGGGGGAGACGAAGAGGGAGGAGGAGGAGGAAGAGGACGAGGAGAGCACCGAGAAGGACGAGGAGAAGGAGCGAAAGGCACCACGACGGGGCAGCGCTGCAGCGGGCCCGCCTTGGAGCCGCGCGCCCCTCCGCCCTGGCGGTTGTTCCACGCGGAGAGCAGGTCGTCGTCCTGCCCGGGCCAGGGGAGGCAGAAGCGTCCGCGCTGCCGCTTCCGGAGGAGCGACGGGAAGGGGGAGGGGGAAAGAGGAGGAAGTGAAGGGGCCCTGGGACACACAAATACATGCACACAAATAAAAAGATTCCCCATCTGTTCCCATATTTTCTGGGTTTTTGTCTTCCCCCCCCACTTCCCATAGTTTCCCATATGTTCTGAGGAATCGATGATTCACTGTGTCGGTGTGTGTGCTTCTTCCTCTCCTGAGGAAGGACTGGATGGGGGAAAAGCAGATTCGGCGGCGAGCGAGGGGGGGGGGGGAAGCGAGGAAGGAGGAGGCCCGCCCAGACGGCGGCCCGGCCTCTCGGGAGCCCTCGCGGCCTTCTGCGGAAGGGCTCCCGGCGTCCTCGGGGGAGGCTTCGCAGACGCCGCGGACGGCCGGGGGGCCTCCGAGCCTCCCGAGAAGGCCCGCCCTCTCGCCTGTCCCCCCCGGGGGCGCGCCGCCGATGGAGCAGATCACTCGATGCGTCGCGCGCCAGTCCACACAGGGGTTTCACCAGATGCACGTCATTGGCCAGCTTCGCACGGCCAGGGGCTCGACCCGTCTCGAGCGCTCGCAAGCACGGAGGCCCTGTGCGAGCTGGGGCTTCATCCTCCTGCACGAGCTTCCCGCTCCTCCTACGGTGGCCCGCACGGCGGCGGGAGAAGAGGAAGGTGAGGGGAGAGCGAGGGTCGAGGAGAACGAAGAGCAGGAGGAGGAGGAGGAGGAGGAGGAACGGGAGGAGAGGAGAGGGGAGGAGAAAGGGTGGAGGGGAGAGAAGCGGGAGGAGAGAGGACAGAGGAGAGAACAGGGGAGGGAGGAGGGTGCGTCCATGCCCCTTTTTCCTCTCTCTCTCTCTCTCTCTCTCTCTCTCGCAAGCTCATACAAATTCAAACCAACACAAATAACTGCTACCTGCCCCCGCTCACTCCCTGGACCGCAGCGGGCCGCATGGTTTGACGCCCGCGGGCAGCGCGTCCAGCAGCGCCCGCGACACGCCGAGCGCCAGCTGCACGCTGATCTGCGTGCGCCACTTGGCGCGCCAGCGCGTCGGCAGGAGCCCGCGCTCGCGCTGCCGGTGCGCCGCGAGCACGGCGAGGTCATCCAGCAGGCCGCCCAGGCGCCCGTCGACGCGGCCCCACGTTTCCACGGCGCAGCACGGCCTTGCCCGCAGCTGGAGGATATCGCGCCTCCTTGCAGCGCGCCCCCTCCTCCGCAGCAGCGCCGGGCTCCCTCGAGGCGGCGTCGAGGATGTGGGCGGCGGCTGGATGCCGAATGGTGCCATCCAGCAGGCGGTCAGGCGCGGACGGGCGGCCGAAGAGCTCAACGTCGAGCACGGCCTCCTCCATGACCTCCCTCCCGTCCCTGCGGCGCCTCAGGAGGCCCAGTTCGGGCACGACCTGCTCAAGCAGGGCGGCATATCCAGCGTCGCGGCCGGCTTGCGCGAGCACGTCGTTCAGCGAGTTGTGTCTGGAAGACACGTACGGACCAATGTTGCACGTGGCCGCGTGGTCGCCGTAGATGTCCAAGTCCTTGCAGCACTGCTTCGCCTGGTCTCTGGACAGCTTGTGAGCGCACTTCAAACCCGCAGGGTGCAGTGGCAAGCCGAGGCGTAATTGGAGAGCCATGACGAACCTGTCATCGCCAAACTGCGGCCACCACGACGCTGGGAATTGCGTGAGCCATCTGCTGGACACAGGCCCCGCGCAGCTAGAGAGTCGTGCGAGGTCTCGCTTCGAGCCGGCTACGCGTGCTCGCAAAGCTCATCTCTCTCTCTCTCTCTCTCCGGACGGCTCAAGAGAAGCTCTGGGTGGGCCTGGGACGGCCCCAGAAGCCGCCGAGACGCAGCCCGAGAGGCGGCCCCCCGAGCGCGCCAGGCGGCGGCCCAGGGCTGCCCCCGCGCAGGCCCCACGAGGCCCCCCGCGACAGGGGGAGAGAGCCGCAAGAGGCCGCTGGGGGCACCAGGAGGGCCTCAAGAGACCCCCAGACCCCCCAGGCGACCAAGGCCCGCAAGGTGACCCCAGACGCCCCACGAGCGCTGCGAGCACCAGCCCGGAGAGTTCACGCTCTCTCGCACGCCTCAGAGTGGAAGCCAGACTGAGCTCCATGCTTCGCGGCATCGAGCTGCACCAAAAATGCGAAACGTCCACTGGTTGCGTTTCGATATCTACCTGGTCTCTCCTCGGCTTCCGCAGTCGGAACGGAACAGCTGGTTTCACCGTTCTCTGCTGTTTGGCCCCGTGCGTGACCACTCCGTGGATGCAGTATCCTGCTCGACTGTGCGCTCCGCCCCCTGCCTGCAAAACCTGCGTCAGCAAGGTGCATGGCCTTCATCATATCCAATGCTGTCTTGCATGTGCCGCCGCTCGCAGCGGGGTCTGCATCTCGGCCACGGGGGCCTCCACGACCGACCCCCGGCCCCCGGCCCGATCGGTGGCCTGGCGGGCAGCGAAGCCCGCACCCACGAGAAGCCGAGGAGACGAGACAGGGCGAGCGCCGACACCGCTCCGCGCGGGGCCGCGGGAGCGCGCCTCGAGGGCGACGGCGGTGGGGCCGTGGCCCCTCAGATGTCACAGCTGCTGCAATTTACCGGCCTAGAACATATCCTCATCCCTATGCTGGGCACCTCCTCATCACGATGCCAACCTTAGGGATGCCCTCATTTTTTGAGGGCGGATCCCTAAGATTGTCATCGCCCTTTGGCGTGCCAATCTTAGGGATAGGGATACGTTCGAGGCTGGTAAGAAATGCCGGACTGGGACTCGTGATGACCAACTTAGAGCCGTCCTAGATGGGGTCGGAGTAGATGGGGTCGGAGGATCGCGCCGCATCGCCGATGTATCGGCGATGCATCGGCGATGTATTGGCGATGCATCGGCCATGCATCGTCGACGTGAGCGGTGCTTCCGCGACGCCGACGTAAAGCAAATCGGGCTCCACATCGAGCCGCATCGCCGATGCATCGGCGATGCGGAGCGATCCTTCGACCCCATCTACTCCGACCCCATCTAGGAGGCCTGGACAACTGTCGTCCTCGTCCTGCATGTCCAGGCCTGCACGCAGCACGGCCTGCGTGCACGGCGGCACGGCGCCGGAGGCGGCGAGGGGCGGCCCGGCACGAGGCGCGAGGGCGCGTGGGCGGCCGGGCGAGGCCGAGCGTCGCGGCAGGCTGCCAAACAACACACACACAAAACATACACACACACACACAACATACAAGAAAACACAGACTGTATTTGCATGTGTTTGTTGTGTGTGTGTGGTGTGTATGTGTGTTTTTTGCTTTTTTCCCACGGGGCAGCGGATCCCGAGGGCGGCGGGCCCCCCCGGCTTTGCACCGTCCTCGAGCTCCCGGGGCCCTCCACGGGCCCCGACCCCGGGGACGAAGATCTCGCCCCGGGGAGGGGCCCCGAGGTCCAGGGCCCGTGTCCCTCGGGGCCCGCTGCCCCCCGTGCGACACGGGGCGCAGTTGGGTCGCAAGTGCACCGACGCGCCGGAAAAAGACGCCCGAGCGAAAAAGAGCACGAGGTCTGAGGAAGCGCCCATATGGGGGGACGGAGGGAGGACGGAGGGAGGAGGAGGAGGAGGAGGAGGAGGAGGAGGAGGAGGAGGAGGAGGAGGATCGAGGAGGGGGATCGAGGAGGAGGGGAGTAAGGCGTAGGAGGAGGGAGAGGAGGAGGCAAGGATCGGGAGGAGGATCGAGAAGGAGAATCGAGGAGGAGGAGGAGGAGCGAGGAGGATCGAGGAGGAGGAGGAGGAGGATCGAGGAGGAGGAGGAGGAGGGGGAGGAAGATCGAGGAGGAGGAGGATCGAGGATCGAGGAGGAGTAGGAGGCGGAGGAGGATCGAGGAGGAGGAGGAGGAGGATCGAGGATCGAGGAGGAGGAGGAGGAGGATCGAGGAGGAGGAAGGGGAGGAGATCGAGTAGGAGGCGGGGCGGGCCGGGGGAGCGAGGCGCCAGACGGCGCAGCACGGCCGCCCGGCGGCGCGGCGAGGAGGCGCGAAGGCAGGAGGCGCGCCGGCGGCTCCGCGGCAGTGGGCACGGCAGCCTTCTGGGTAGCCTTCCCGACGACGACGACGACGACGACGGCGACGACGGCGACGACGACGACGACGACGACGACGGCGACGACGGCGACGACGACGACGACGACGGCGGCGGCGACGACGGCGACGACGACGACGACGACGAGGCCCGACAGCCTTCCGGGTAGCTGCGCACGGGCGTCCGACGGAATGTGCAAGATTGCCACTTTGGCGAATGATGCCCCCTGCTTCACTATGTTGGGCGCCTGGAGCGGGCACGGAAAAGAGGGGTGGGATGCCCAACCACAGATGTGGTAAAGAACCAGCAGCGGCCGCTGCTGGGCAGGCGGCCTTCTCTCTCAAACACACAGCGTCCGCGGCGACACCGACAGCGAGTCCTGCTCAAAATCTAAAGAAACTGCTGTCGGTCTTCGTATATGAGGACCGTTTAACCGACCCTGTCCCCATGGGCGTGGCATGGGCCCCACTGGCAGATGTGCCCCCCCAGATGGGGGCATAAGGTCGCTTCCTTCGGGCTTCGGCGGGTAGATCCCCAACTGGTGGGGTGAGATGGTGAAGGTCTGGATGGGGTTGGGGATGGGGGAGGGGGATGGGGGATTGATGGTGGAGGTCTGGATGGGGATGGGGATAGGCGATGCTCACCCACGGCAGTGGGCACGAAATCGCGGGACCTACCCCATCGCTCCGTGGCCGCGGCAGCCCTCCCTCCCGCAGCTGGGCGAGCCCGAGCGCTCTCGCGCCGACCTGAGGCATCCACAACGTCTCTGGAGGCACCACGAGGTCCCCCGAAGCCCGAGTATGGCCAGAAACGACCAGCAACCTCGGTGCCTGGTCCTGAAGAGGAGAGGAAGAGCGAGAGGCAAAGAGAGAGAGGGGAGAAAAGCAAACATTGATTTTAAGGGAGGGGGAGGGATGGACATGGAGATGGAGAAGGAGGAGAGATATTGAAAGAGAGAGAGAGAGAGGGACACAGAGAAGAGAGACAGACAGAAAGAGAGCAAGAGAAAAGCAACAAACAAACAAACCAACAAAAAAAACAAGAAAGGCAGCGAGAGAGAGGGATAGGGAGAGAGGGAGAGAGGAAGAGGGGACGGATAAATATAGTGCTGCATCGAAGAGGAAAGTGAATCTGCATCTGTTTGTAAAACATGATGGGGATACAGACATGCACATAAAAAATACGGGGCAGGGGTATACAGACTTACGTATGTATATGCATGTATGCACACGTGCACCTTGTCTCTCATTCTGCATACTTACACAGACATACACTGTATGTCGCGCGACACCTATTCCCGAATCGCTGCTTGCACTTAGGAGACCCTCGTTCTGTCAAAAGGGACTGGCCCTGGATGTCGGTCTGGCAAGGCAGCGCTCGCCGTCGCAGCCCCGTCGCCGCCTCGTCAGCGTCCGTCGCCTGGGCCCCTTTGTGGCTTTGGCGGCTCCGTGCTCTCCGTCGCCGCCTCGTCGCCGCCTCGTCGCCGCCCCTGGTCTGGGCCTGATTGCCCGTCTGGCGGTTCCGTGCTCGCCGTCGCCGCCTCGTCGTCACCGCCCCGTTGACGCTCAGATTGCGCGACATCGATCGCACGACATAGATTCCCCTTTCTAAATAAAGAATCATAGGCTACTCTACCCCCGCCCCCCCGGGATGGTCGACACCCCCTTTTCGTATTGCAATGTACATGCGATTCTGCCCCATCGTGCACCCTAAATTTGAATTCGTACTATGCCAGGCAGGCTGGTATCGACCCCGCCCGTCACCCTCTGCAGGAAATACTGCGCGCGCACTCTTGTATCGAAAACCACGAGTTTTCAAACATTCCTTGCAACAAATGGGACGAACGAAGTGCACACGCGCGTGTCGTCGCGCGCGCATGCCGAAATCCTTCAAAAACCGTCGGCTTCGTAAGGATTCCAAAAATCGAGCGGTTTCGGAACACGGCTGTTCAAACGAAAAACAACAAAACAACGCACACACACACACACTCCTTCAAAACACACACACACACACACACACAACAACGGAAAAAAAACGTGCGCACGTTGTCTTGCGAACCCGTACGAAAACCCTATGGTTTTCCAAATCTTATAGATATATATATACACATATATACATATATTATATACAAAATATATTATATATTATATATATATATATATATATATATATATATATATATATATATATATATATATATGTATATATATATATAAAAACACTTACCAAAAAAAATAATAATAAAAAAAAAAAAAAAAAAAAAAAAAAAAAAAAAAAAAAAAAAAAAAAAAAAAAAAAAAAAAAAAAAAAAAAAAAAAAAAAAAAAAAAACGCGCGCACGCGCG